TCAGCTGTCTCCCGAACCTCTATGTGAAGAACTTGAAGACCTTCTCGCCGAAATACGTGGAGACAAGAAGAGGAAGAGACCCACGAGGTGGGATAACTAGAGGAGTAACATTACTGGAATTATGATGAGCTCCTGTAAGTAACAACAACTGATAAGGTTAAGAAGATTAGTAGTAGAGTTAGATGAATAAGTTAGTACTGTCTGTAAGAAGATAAAAAGACCCATCTTGACATGTGTGGGTCTTCTTGAACTACTAGAAGTCTAATCATCAAATAAGTTATTAATATAAGCAAGTTTTGAAGTAGAAAAAGCAACTTTTGTTTATCAGTCTGTGTGGGTCTTCTTGAGAAACCAATTCTAAACCGAGTAGCCAATCTTAAAGCTGGACCAAATTACTTGTTACTCTACAGTATAAATCTAGTATATGTATTTTCTATTTATATCTCTAATAATGAAACGGCTATCTTCATGTGAACATACAAAATTCTTGGGGTTTGTTTTATGTTTCACAAACATACAAATAATCTCACTTGTAAATCATCGAAGAACAATGAAAAAAGCCTTTGTTTGGTTACAGAATTTACAGGAATTGATTATACAACCTTTTAAGTACTTTGTCCATACAACTTTTGTGTCAAATCTCAGTTCTTACATTTATAATACATCAAACCAAATCCTTCTCTCATCTCTATCGGCAACCCAACACGAGTCTCCCTTCTTCGTTTATTGTCGTGTTCCTACATATCTTTTGAAGGTCTATGTAACCAATGATTGTGTCTTCAAAGACCACATCCTCCAGATTTGCCTCATCGAATGTGGAACCCGATAACACCGTGTTCTTGAACACTGCTCCTTTCAGATCTGATTTCCCGAAATTCACCCTATCAATAACAGCATTTGAGAAATTCACCCCTGCAATATCAAACTAAAGCATTAGCATTCCAGTTCCCAATCGCCAAATTTTATGGCTACATAAGACTGTTGTAGAGTTACCTTTGAAGCTTGCTCCTACGGCATAAGCTTTTGACATAACGACTTCAGTCATGTCTGCACCATCAAACTTGGCGCCTGACATCAAGGCTGCAGAGAGAGTCTTGCCTTTGAGATTAGATTGATCGTTTGTGTAATCGCAGAACCTAAGATCGAGTGGTTTGTCATAGACTCCATTTGCTTGACCTATCGTGTTACCAACAAACGCTTGTTCACACCGGTTTGGATCTGTTGAAAGCGGAGGAAGTCTCTGAAACAAAACCATTATTCAGTTGTTGAATCTTTTTCTTAACACTCCCATCTTTCGCCGTGTTAAGTAAGCATTATAATAATTACTAAGACTAAGGTTACACATTCTTAGGATCACTCATCACTCAGACTAAGGTTACAGCTTAAGGTGAGAGATTACTAACATGAGAATCCAAGTTCTTACCATAATGTTCAATAGAAAAAGAAAACATAAATGTGACTGACCTGATTAGCAGCAATTACAGGAGAAGCCAATGTAAGAGTACAAGCAGAAATGACGGCGCAAGCGATACATCCAAACTCCTTAATCGGTAACAAACTCTTCTTTAATCCTTGACCATTGTCTCTGTTATCTCCAGCTGAGAGCATCATAATGCAAACCAAAAACAAAATCATTAAAACAAAGAAAGTTTTTTAACATAACAATACTGTTTCTGATCATCACAAGAAAGATAAACCCAGCTATACAGATGGTTTTCAGTATCAGATAAAGTTACAGATCCTTGAAACTATCTTAAATTACTGAGAATTCCGAAGAATCGGCAAACCTAGAAGTAGTAGTAGTAGCAACATACCAATAAACGCAGCGGAATAAAATGGCATTTACCGGAGCAATGTACAGTTGCGAAAGATCTGGGCTCCGGGAAGGCGGAGCGGCGGATTCTTCCGGAGAGAGACGGAGGAGAGAGATTATTCCGGGAGAAGTGAACGGGAAGAGAAGCCATTGATAGGTATGCTCAGGTTTTGTGCTTTGCCTTTGGACAACCGTGAGTTTTTATGGATCATGCCAATGACGTGGCGTGACAGATCAGAGACTATGTCGTCGATTTTGGGCCTCAGCACTAACTGGGCTGATAACTATTTGGTTTAATTTAAAAAGATATCCTCGGTTTCCATATTTGATATCAATAAGCCCATACATGAAGCTTTTTTCTTTTCTTTTTTGGTCACGCCCACACATGAAGTTGATATTATTGAAACTATAATATTTAAAGAATTAATAAACATTCCAACCAATCAAAACATTTAATATTACGATTATTATTTTCTCAGATCTGTTTGTACAAGAATTGATATATATTGAACATATCAAAAATATATGAATTCAAATATACATCAACAAATACATAGTTAATCAAC